AAAAATAAAAGTATCGGTATCGGGCGAGTACTGGAAAAAGTGGTATCGGTGCATCCCTAATTATTATTATTATTATTATTATTTTATTATTATTTATAATAATAATAATAATATATCACTACCAACTTATGTAAAAAAAAAAAAATACAAATAATAAATAGGGCTAGAGTTACATTTATAGAAGTTAAAAATTGTAATGAACTCTGGGAGAAAAAAAAGTTTAATTTACTTTCTCCAGTCCAGTCAAGATTTAATATGTAGCAGCAGTAGTGATAATAACAATATACAATTATATAATATATAATTAGGAATACATTAATATATCACAACCCCTTTACATTAAAATAAACCCATTTACGTTATAAAGAACAAATGTTTAGTGTATAGAATTATTTACATTAAAAATAATACTTTATAATGTTACTGCACTTATACCATCTTATTTCTTCACAGAAGGGAGACAACAAACCACCAGCTAAGCCCACACACTGCACCATCTACGTAGCAAAGACCTACCCGCCATGGCAGCACAGCGCCCTCTCTCTGCTGGGCAAACATTACAAGGTATAAACACCCTAATCACATCTCTCATATCAGAGTGTACAAACTGAGACAACCTTCACATATTTAATAGGGCTTGACACAGATTTCATGAATCGATTTGTTGATTCCAATTTCGTTTTGATATTATTATTATTATTATTATTATTATTATTATTATTTTATTATTATTTATAATAATAATAATAATATATCACTACCAACTTATGTAAAAAAAAAAAAATACAAATAATAAATAGGGCTAGAGTTACATTTATAGAAGTTAAAAATTGTAATGAACTCTGGGAGAAAAAAAAGTTTAATTTACTTTCTCCAGTCCAGTCAAGATTTAATATGTAGCAGCAGTAGTGATAATAACAATATACAATTATATAATATATAATTAGGAATACATTAATATATCACAACCCCTTTACATTAAAATAAACCCATTTACGTTATAAAGAACAAATGTTTAGTGTATAGAATTATTTACATTAAAAATAATACTTTATAATGTTACTGCACTTATACCATCTTATTTCTTCACAGAAGGGAGACAACAAACCACCAGCTAAGCCCACACACTGCACCATCTACGTAGCAAAGACCTACCCGCCATGGCAGCACAGCGCCCTCTCTCTGCTGGGCAAACATTACAAGGTATAAACACCCTAATCACATCTCTCATATCAGAGTGTACAAACTGAGACAACCTTCACATATTTAATAGGGCTTGACACAGATTTCATTAATCGATTTGTTGATTCCAATTTCGTTTTGATATTATTATTATTATTATTATTATTTTAAGTGCAACATTCTATTAACTAATGCTGTAAAATACACCTGTCGTTTGATACATTACTATGATATTAAAGGTTCAAATTAACAATAAAGTCCAAATTCAATTGCTGTTAATTTTTCATCACACAAAAAGTTTTTATGACGGAAAGCAATTGGTACATTTCTCTGGCACTACTCGGAATGTCATTTTTCAATTCGGAGTGTTAAGTTTTGATAGGCTGTCAATCAAACAGCAGTTCTTTCCCATTGTCATTTCTAGAGCAACAATGGAGCTCTACCTGACAATAAGGTCATCGCCATGGAGCTGGGTGCCATGCCGGAGCTGAAGAAATACATGAAGAGAGTGATGCCCTTTGTAGCCATGATAAAGGTAGAAGAGTTTGGACCTTCAATATGATCTTGTAAAAACTGGGTCTTAGATTTAAGAGCATGGTCAAAGGCTAGCATCAACAAAGGCTGTGTTCACAATAGCATAGTGCTGGGAAATGATTAATTGCGAGTAATCACATCCAAAATAAAAAGTTTGTGTACATAATATATGTGTGTGTACTGTGTATATTTATTATATATATACACACATTCATGTATATAGTTAAGAAAAATGTTATGTTTATATATTAAATATATATAATATATTAACATATATGTTTATATATATATATATATGTATATATGTATGTATGTGTATGTATATATATATATGTATGTGTATATATATATGTATATATGTATGTATATATATGTGTGTTTATATATATAAACAATGTACACATTCCTGAAAAAAAAAAAAAACAGTTCAAAGTTTCTATAAAAAATATTAAGCAGCGCAGCTATTTTCAAAATTAATGATAAGAAATGTTTCTTGAGCCCTAAATCGGCATATTCAAATGGTTTCTGATTTTTGTCACACATGCAAACTACATAAATAAATAATACATGTTTGTTTGTTTTTTTTAAGTGTTAGTTGAATTGCTTGCAGTATTATAGAATGATCATTTATGTCATTTATATGCATTTAAATTGGTCCTGTTTCTCTCTTGTGGTGTGTTTCCAGGACAACCTAGAGAAAAACGGGCCCAGGGTTCTTGATCTAGAGCTGGAGTTTGACGAGTGTGCTGTCCTACTGGAGAACATCGTTTATTTGACTAATTCACTTGAGGTAATAGTGCATAACTGCTTGAAAAGCAAGCTAAATGTTCAGTTCTACAAAACCAAACGACAGAAAACAACTTTCGTAACACTTAAAGAAAATCTAAATTGACTATGTATGGCTTAATTAATGACCCTAGTCTTACTGTACATGACTCATCAGTACACAATACTGTAAAGAAAAATAATTCAAATAATTTTACTTGCATTAATTTAATAATTAATGCAAGTCAATAAAATAAAGCAACACCTTCAAAACAAGCCGGTTATTTTAATTTGAATATTGTGTTTTACTCTAAAATGCATTGCAAAGGTTTCCTTTTTTCCCCTCTCATTTTAGCCATTTTTCTTTTGTAATAACCGAGCTGCGGTGCTGAAAGCACTATTATTAGCTGACTCTTGGTTTGATCTCATTGTTAGTTGTTTCAGTCAATAGCTAAATGATAACCGGTGTCATTCTTTCACTGACCCTCTTTCTCTCTCCTCCATCAGTTGGATCAGATAGATGTTGTGTTCGCCTCTGAAGCGGATGACAAAGTGAAGGAGGACTGTTGCCCTGGGAAACCGTTCTGTGTCTTCAGATCCGAGGTGATGATGAGAGCTCACTGAGGCCCTGTCACAGCTGCTGCACCATCTATTGTTTCTGTTTTTTAATGGTTGACCTGGCCTGTGCTGCATGCAGCTCGAGACAGACTAATTTTAGAAGCATGCTGCGCATTGCTAATGCTTCGTAGATGCAGCTCACTATGGTGTAGTGTACAGCGTTCAATCAGACATAAAATGTTTTCTGCGTTATCGCCAGGCTTTTGGAAATATATTTGAAATATGTTTATATGCAGGATTTGATATGCAGTGTTCCCACAACCAAGGAGAAAAACATTTGGAAAAACAGTTTAAATAATTTTTAAATTGTGATATCCAGACTTGGAAAGACATGGAAATTTAATAGAATAAAATAAAGACTTAGACTGTAAGTCTACATTAAACAATAAAGACTGTTTATAGCAAATTGTATTTAAACTGAAAACAGTTGTGCTTAAAAAAAA